TAATAGTCCACGCGTGAAAAGTGTAGTTTTAGTCATAGGGGGATGCTCATAGTCATAACTCCATGGTTTCCAACTGAGCTCCCCGGCAATTATTCAATGTCTTTTTTTGAACAGCTTCTGTTTCTATTTCTAATTCATAAACCGGGACGGGATCAAATAGAGCTTTTCTCAAATCTAGTTTAAGGATTCAACAACACTCGACACTCGATTTTGTGAACGGTATCTCACGTAATTAAGCGCATGTGCAAAAATGACGTGTTCTATGCGAGACAGTGTAGGCAATAATTTAGTTCTGCAAGTCGCCTTGATAGACCAGGTCCTGGGTGATACCTACAGACAGCCTTCATTGATGACGAAAATTCAAGTAGGCTTTATCAAGGTCGTTTTTTACCATGTCGCATCAACTAAAGGAATCATATCGTTGAGCATGGGTTACGGCAAATGATTACAAACAGTTTATAATCTTTTGGTTACGCCCACCATTTCCAATATTTAACCAATTTTCAAGAGAGGTATCTACCTTTCCTGACGGGAGCTTCATTTCTATCGCTCCGTCTTGTTATAGTTTTAAGCATGACACTGGACAGCTTACATTCAACTGATACAACTGAAAATGCCGTATGATTCCTCATATCGAAAAGAAGACTCGACTTCGCCGCAATACCAGTCATTCTCGGATAAAATATCGTTTAGAAAAGGATCCTCAGCGGCAGACCGGACTTTCATTTGAATTCCATTTGAATTAATGTTGCTCTTGTGGTCCTCCTATCTGGTCTGATAAACAGATCTGCTAATCAATGTGATTATTGTCATCATTCGTAGAGCGAAAAATAGGTGAGGACTATTGCGGAAAATTCCATTGACCATGCAAGACACTATTACAGAAGACAACAGAATGTCCTTTGTTTTCCTGAATTTCATCCTCCGTGATGTTTGTTTATGTAGCATCAGACTGTATCGCATATACATATGTCATACTTTCCCAAAATAGATATTCTGATCTGCGTTGGCCAAAATAAAACAGACATGATAGTTACAATTAGATAAATTATTTAAGGAAATTGCAGTTCACATTTTAGAAGTATTCCAAAAACCCGATCCTAAGGATAGACTACTTTTACTTTTACTTTTACTTTTAATTTTTACTGATATTGTACTTTTAGTGTCCCATCGTCTCTTCAAGTGTCATTCCTTTCACTGAATTGAAAAAAGAAAGAGAATAACGTTCTCCTGAGTCTCTCCTAAATCCCAGGATTGTAGATGTCAATACGAAGAGCCTTGATGAACGCATACCCTGTATGGAAAATATTTTTACGCGGATGGGTGGTTGTATAAAATATCCTTGTTGAGTGCTCGTCAGATCAGACTCGCCGCGGCCTGATGAAAATGTTTCGTTTATCAATCACACCTCTCCGACTAACTCAGTCATTTTTGAGGTTAAATCTATCATTCTGATGAAAATTTCTTTAACAATTGGTAAAATATCCTACTATAATTTCTGTTCGTTCCTTCGGAATAAACCCTCTACAGAAATGAGTACCTGGGAATAGTACTGAAGCTTCTTGAATGTGTATGCGACATAATCAAAACCACGATATTTGTTCATAATGAAACTGAAACTGAAGGAATATATTCTGGCATATACAATCTTATGTGGTATGACAGACTAATACTGCTAGTTGACGTCTTTTATTGGTAATGCAAAAGGGAAGTCAAACCACATCTCGTAAATGATATGAAGAACGTTAAGACAGAATCATTTGAATCAAATGAAATACTACTGTATGGTCATAAGACGTCAATTAGCAGTATAATATTTTGTTCATTTTAATCTCCCTTTTTAAGATAATTATTTTCTTCTCACGTTATTTGTTGTACACGGCTCCTAGCAACGTATAGATCACATAAAAATTATTTTAACTTTGTAAATATAATTATACCGTGATGGGCGAAACATTAAATGCACGCGGCTCTTGATCCAATTGCTTATCACCTGCTATTCTGCGGTAGATCAATGTAACACTTTCAAGAGACAATAGTTGTAACCTTAGACTGTTACGTTAATGAAAATGTTTCGTTTATTAATCAGAAATCTCCAGCTCGCTTAGTCAGTTTCTGGGATGAATCCAATATTCTGATGAATTGTTTCAATAAAATTGGTAAGAACTCCCTGATAACTCTTACAACATTCTGGAGAGCTTAGTACGGACTTATGATAAGCATCCTAAATGTGCGTTTCTTAGTTACCAAATGTTACTACGAAAACTTCTCGGTGAGAAACATAACCTTAAAGAAAATATTTATTCGTAATTATTTGGAACTGAAGTATATACAACCCCATGTGGTAAGACAAACGACTTAAATTCTATTAATTTTGTGATGCAAATATTTTACACAGACTATTTTGGGAAAAAAAAATACAAAATACGTGGCGCTCATTTTAATAATACTTGTCGTTATAAAACCCTGGTAAGAAAATTCAGATAGGTAAGTTTCATTCAATTTCCCACTACCTGCAGTTCAAAGGACACCTTAATAGATTGTCGATCAAACGATTTTAAGGTGCCGTATCACAACTTTTTCTTGATGACCAGTATCAAACGAACGCCTCGCAAAACCACTTGTCGGGAGTAGAAGGGATACATGGAAAGTAACACAAATAGAACTGTACAAGTTGTACTTTAGCAGGTTAAGATTATTAATATGCAATGCCTCTTTGATCTTAATTTGGTATTTTGAAGCGGCAGAATCTAAGATCGTGAAACATTCAGTATCACAAGAGTCAAGACAGGCCCTTGATGATTGCAGGTGTTTGTAAATATGCGAAGTTTTGTCCGACAAGAGGTGCTCACGAACTCGTGTACAAATGTGGCGAGTGGTCTCACCAATATAACTGACATTACAGCCAGCACATGAAAATTTATATATGACACGCGAACGTAGACCTAGCGGTACTGAATCTTTCACACTGAACATGTTTCTGAGTTTAAACGTACTGAAGACTAACTTAA